CCTAAGGACACTTTACATAAAAAACAACAAAATAAATAAATTAAAGCTATTATTTCAATGGAAGTCACCCAAAAAGCCATGTACCACAGGCAAGATATTATTTGTTCATATTTCTTCCATAGAACCTCTTTTCCAAAGATCTGAATCATCGCTGACATGTACCCATGGAGGTGAAATGTTTAAAAAAAATAAACAAACAAAAAAATTCTGTTTTAACACCTCAAAGGTTATCCCGGGGCTGTGGAAAGGAATCCTCACAGTCAGGTAGTCCTCCTCTGCCTCCACGTTGAAGCCACCTATCTTCACCAGGTCCCAGTCCAGCTTGCGGGCTCCGAGGAAGAGCTCCCACTGGAGGTCACGGTTGTCCCCGTGGTGCAGCAACACCAGCAGGCTGCTCTCTGTGCACTTCCCCTCCARCCTGGGGGAACTTCGATCTGCTCCGTGATGGCAAAACAAGACCACTGAGGTTTATATTTGCAGATAACAGTGTAATTATCCTCAACAGGATGGACGTGAGCTRCAGGCTTATTAGTGTTTTCAGGTAAAAACGAACCCAGAGCTTTACACTCTGCAATTATAAGACACTAAATATTAAATTTTGTCACCTGAATGTAGGACCTGCTGCTTCACCGAGGCGTGATGGTAAAACACGTCTCCACCAGGTGAGATGGACAACGTGAAGATGAAGGTGAAGCCGTACGTCTTGTGCCCCCCACCTATACGCTGACGATCAGACAGCAGCTCGTTCAGATCTGCTCTCAGCACAGCTTCATAAACCTGCTGAGCATTTGGTGGGTCCCTCACCTCTGGGATGATTTTAGGGTTCGATAACGAGACGTTGAGCTGGAAGCAGGAGCTGCCGTTGGGGAGGGAGAACCTGGACACCGCCAGGCCTGCGTCGCTGTGGTTCTGAGTCCAGGTTAAAAGGTCACCGCCGCCGTCAACCGTGACCTTCTGGAGGCGAACRTCTGGTGTGAAGAAGCCCAGAGTGACTGACAGCAGATCGCTGGAGGAGTCTGGATCTACAGAGTGAGAGCAAACGCAGGCAGAGAATCAGGAATGAACAGTGATTTATGGGCTAAATGTGACCAAAATGAGTCACAACAAGGAATTTTCAATAGTGAGTTATTTTTTCCAAATTATCCAACTCAAGACTTCAAAATGATACGCAATTTGTTGAAATTTGGCTACATTTCTCCTGGCCTAGCTGAAAAATTATTATTAATGCTGGTTTGAAAACTGGAATATTTTTGGTCTGGAGTGACTCCAGCTGTTTATTTAAAAATAAGAAGGCCCAAGCTTCACAATGACGACAAACATTATACAAAAGGATTTCCTGTACTACGGTAGATGGCAGAGAGAAATGGGTCAATTTTAAAGGATATTATAAGAATTAGAGGTGGGTACAGCTAACCAAAAAGTTAGCTTCACTAACCACTAAGAATCTTAGCTCCGCAAACGTTAATCCACTGAACAGGTAACAGAATTAATGGAAGCTAATGCTAATCAGTAAGATGAGTGTCAGCCTGTCATTGAAACAAACCTGTTAGTTATTGGTTTAATTTATAGGTAGATGGGATCATCTGTGGCAAATCAGCCAATCCAAACTTAGAGTGATAGCTCTGTCTAACCAGTGATACTTCCAGTTTGGGCCTTTCAGAATAAAAGCATTTCTTTTGAGTTTCTATTTTTTTAAACACTGTTTGAAATTAGTCAAACAAAAAATATAAAATACTTTTTCTACCATATTTTATATGTACTTCATTTTGTATTTGCTTTTTAAATGTTACTTTATATCTTTTTGACGCTCTGTTCATATTGTTCGTTGTAAGGAGCCATTCAAAAGATGTGGATCGTTAGCAAACAATTTCCAAAGTTAGCAAAAAAGCTAATCTGCTAAATGAGAAGCTAGTTTCGCTAATAGCAGATTAGCGTAACTGGGCCCACCACTGAGGATTGCAATTAAATTATTTTGGCATCGACATATAGAAGACATACTGTATAACTGTTAGAAAACTTGCATTTGGCTTAAAAACAAATTTGCATTTAAAGAAACATTAGGAGGATTTTATGCCGTCTTAGTTGCTTTTAATAAAGACTTTCCACCTTTTTTTTACTCTACTAACAAGTAGGAGTGCACATAATATAGACTTTTGCAAAATATCACAACATAAAGTGGTTCTTTGCCATATTGAAATTAAAATAACTTTGAGTGCAATGAACCATAGTCAGTTATATTCGGTCATGAACTGATATTTAGTTGACCTCACAGATGGGTTCTTCTTAGTGTTGTTGAAGCTCACATCAGAGATTTGATGAGTCTCACAGAGAATCCTTCCTACAGTCTCATAAGAAGAATTTAAAGAGTCTCACTGTGGGTCAGGATGAGGTTTTGAGGGACGGGAGGAGTCTTTAGGAGCCTAAAGGAGCGATGCTGTGTGAGGGGCCATCGTTGGTCCTCCCACTGCCTCATGAAGAAGAARTCCACCAACATGGACTGACTGTACTGACCCCTCACTACGCTGCTCTGGAAGAATAAAAACACGTATTTAGAGTTCAAAACCAGTTTGAAAACTTTACCAAACTAGGGTCGTACCTTGACGTGTCCACCGGGAGCTCCTGCAGGAACCCGGACCTCCACTCGGCCCTCCTGCAGCTCAATCCTGTATCCCCCCTGTTTAATGTCGGCTTCGCTCAGAGCCTGACCGTTCACCCCGACCCTCACGCCTCCGTCTCTGAACGGCCCGTCCACCAGCGGAGGAGGAAGGGACGGGACAACCCACAGCAGGTCGGAGCCGTCTGCCGTGGCCTCATCTGAGGGGAACAGAGGRGAGACKTTACGACACGGACCACCGTTTCCTGCCCTGGAACCAACATTTTWTCCTGAGGAGCTGATCTTACTGAGAGAACAGCCCACAGAKGCGTCAACAGCCAGCACACTGTCCTGGAGTCTCAGCAGGACAGAGACAAGTAAAATCTCCACGTCCACATTTTTTACCTGCAACAAAAATCCACACAAAACACACAGTACTGTGCAAAACTTTTAAACCACCACTTGTACTTTGCTTCAGAGACTTTCTTGTAACCTTGTAGAGAGGTTTGGTTCAATCATGTAAAACTTTCTATTTTTTTCTTTAACTCAGGATGCTTTTTCACTCATTTTATGTCAAACCCTTGTACCTGCCTGACAGCATATTGTGCAGTTTGAGCTGAATAAAATAGGAAAGTGGAAAAAAGGAGGACAAAAGAAGCGTCAGGTCTAAAAAGTTGCTAGTACTTCAGCTAGTTACGAGCTAAAGATCAGATTTAAAATACAAGTTGAGTCAAAAGTCTTCGGACAGTCTTATATTTCAGAACGAAAAAGAAAAATTTAATCCATGAATACCTCAGCAAATAATGTGTAAGGGGGACTATTTTTTTAGGCTATGTCCAGAACATTGCCACAATCTCAAAAGCCACTATGTTGGATGAAAAATTAAAAGGCGTCCTGTGAGTTTTGACTCACCCAGTAGATTTTTCACCAGGTTTTTAGTAAAGTGTCGACAACACGGGCTCATCAAGTTTAAGAGACTTTTTTATGCTTTATTGCTTCATAAATCAGAGTCAAGCAGATTAACAAATAAAAACACTCAATGTTCTGTGACTGGACTGAAAATTGGTGAAAAAGCARCCAAMGTCCAAGAAAAACAAAAACACTTAAAGACCATCAGAAAACTACAAATTTGATCATCTTAGAAGATTACAAGAAAGTTTGATTACTTACGAGTGACATAAAAACTTCTAGATTATAAAATCAACAACAAGTAAACAGAGGCGTTCAGGTCCTCTACATCACCTTGACAGAGAACGACAGCCGAGACGAGTAGAAAGAGCGGAGCGTGAGTCGGGACGTCTGCAGAGAGACGTAGTAACCCAGAGCAGCAGCCTCGATAACRGACAAAACTACAGCATCCTTCTCTGAGCGGTCGGCTCTGTGGAACATGACGTCTGCCTCATCRAAGCCCTGTTCAGTGATGAGAGGTGAGTTACAGATCAACAGGATGTGAACAGCTTTGATTTAAAGAGCACTCAGTTCGACACAGGAGCAACAAACTATTTTGACTTGTGATTGAAGCAGTAAAAATCAAATACTTAAAAAAATAATGAGCTATTTACTCACATTTTTATTATTACTGGGAACACTGAGAAGGCCAGGCAGCTGAATGGACACCTAAATTAAAAAACAAGATTTAATGACATTAGCTTTAGCTTTAAAATCTATCAATTACATTTTTATGATACATTAAATAGTAAAGAAGCTCACATAGGTTGGAGTGTTTCTAGTCAGTAATGTGAGTCTAAGACAAATGTATCAAACTCAAAACCCGTGGGCCAAATATGGCCCACTACAGCATTTCATGTGGCCCACAGGAGTTTCTAAGATGCATTAATGTCTTAAAATAAGCAGATGCTGCTTTAAAGCAGCACTAACAATAGTGCTGGGTGGTATATCATTTTGTACCGAATGCTTGTTTTTATTTTTGTTATATGAATTTCCTGAATACAGTACACACTGGTTTAAATAGCCTGAACAACGGCGGAACGTTTCGTTGCGGCCGCCTGTCTGCGGCCGTCCTGGGGGATACTTTTCCTCGCAGCACCGCTATGTGCGTTAGCATGCTAATGTTATTGTTGAGCAGCTTATTGCGGGTGGCGATTCCGCTGCTTATATTGACTGACGTTTAAAAAAAATCCCGTTTTTGCCATCGCTGAACGTAGTAAACACATCTTTGGTGACGAGCACAGTTAGATTTAACGCTGTTAGTTAATATGGANTCATCTATAATTATATTAATTGAACACCTTTTTGCACAGTACCTTCATAATGAAACTGAATCATCCGGCTAAGGTAGCTGGACTTAACAGAAAGCCAGAAGTGACGCTCGAGACATTTGGTCTGAAACACTCCTGAAAACAAGAAACACGACGTCAGTTTTCAGTCAACAGCTCTAAATTAAGAAGTATGTGTAAAATGTACAGTACAGACTAGGGGTGTAAGAAAATATCAATACACTGAAATATCGCGATATTTCA